GACAGGGAGCTGAAGGCGTTAGAAGAACGCAACACCTGGAAGGTCGTTCCTATCGGCGTAGCACGAAACAAGACCATACTTACCGGAAAATGGGTCTTCCGTGTGAAGACGAAAGCAGACGGCACCATCGACAAGTTCAAAGCACGCTGGGTCGTACGCGGCTTCGACCAGGAGCACGGACGTGACTTCACCGAAACCTTCGCTCCGGTCAGCCGCCACACTTCACTGCGAATTCTCCTCGCGATCGCCGCCATGAAGAAGAAGAAGCTGCGACAAATCGACGTCGCAAATGCTTTTCTCTACGCACCTGTTGATGCAGAGATCTTCGTGGAGCTACCACACGGCTCCAACACAGACTCCACACATGTCTGCCAGCTGCTAAAATCACTCTACGGGATCAAACAGGCCCCGCGACTATGGCAACAGTACCTGCACGCTCGCCTCATCCGCATCGGCTTCAAACAACTCCCACACGATCAAGGAATGTACCGCCTCACGAAGAACGACGACTACGTCCTACTAATCGTCTACGTGGACGATCTCCTCTACATCGGGTCAAATGACGGCATCACTACCTGGTTCGAAGGGGAGCTGCAGCAAGACCTCACACTCACGGTCTCGCCTACCGTCACTCAGTACCTCGGCCTCAACATCCGAGAAGAAGAAGATGCGATCTACCTCAGCGCCGAAAAGTACGCCGACACCATCGCCAAACGCTTCGGTCTCACGCCGGCCGCGATCTCAACACCATACTGTTAGAAACAATAGGAGTGGGGCCTAGGCTTAGTAGCCTAGGCCCACACTAAGAGGTAGTAGGATGTGCCCTAGGACTAGGGTTTTGGGTATGCGAAGGAGAATTGGAGAAGAGGAATGATGGAGGATGATTGAACTAGCAAGCAGGTTGGTACAAATAGGAAACCCTAAAGGGGTTGTACTCACTATTGAGCACCCCACTGCAGGCTAGACAAATAACATAATCTGACACACCCCCATAGTCAAAGTGGGGTGTAATCAGCACAATCAGCAGTCACATCAAAAGTTCACAATTATCAGCAAAGCTAGAGGCTATCACAGAGGGCAAGTGAGGAGGAGGAGGAACTGTGAAGGGAGAGAAGATTGGAGACGACGACTGAAGCTGCAGACACACAGGCGCAGCAGGCTCTCTGAGCTACCAGGACAGTGCGCCCCGGACTACAGGTGCTGCAGCCTCCTCCAACTGTCCCACACCCCCCTACACACATCCCCTGTTTCACCTCTAGCTCCACTCCCACATCACCCCCCTAGCGCCACTCCCTTCGGCTCCCACACCTCCACCCCCCTCAGCGGCATCTGCAGTAGTGGGAGACGAAGGAGGAGGAAGGGACGACGCACACGGAGCACCCCCATACCTGTCACCCCCACACTCCTGTCCAGGGGACGGGGGGGGGGGGGGGGGGCAACATAACAAAACAGAGTGCACGAAGCACAAGGCACAAGGCACAAGGCACAAGGCACGAGGCACAAGGCACGAGGCACAAGGCACGAGGCACGAGGCACAAGGCACAAGGCACAAGGCACGAGGCACAAGAGAGTAGAGCACAAGGCACGAGGCACGAGGCACAAGGCACAAGGCACAAGGCACGAGGCACAAGAGAGTAGAGCGCACGAGGGCGCGGGCTGCAGCAGGGCGCACGAGGGCGCGGGCAGCAGCAGGTAGGCAGGGCGCGCATAGAGGCGCAGCGCAGGTAGGCAGTGCGCGCGCAGAGGCGCAGCGCAGGTAGGCAGGGCGCGCGCAGAGGCGCAGCGCAGGTAGGCAGTGCGCGCGCAGAGGCGCAGCGCAGGTAGGCAGGGCGCGCGCAGAGGCGCAGCGCAGGTAGGCAGGGCGCGCGCAGAGGCGCAGCGCAGGTAGGCAGGGCGCGTGCAGAGGCGCAGCGCAGGTAGGCAGTGCGCGCGCAGAGGCGCAGCGCAGGTAGGCAGGGCGCGCGCAGAGGCGCAGCGCAGGTAGGCAGGGCGCGCGCAGAGGCGCAGCGCAGGTAGGCAGGGCGCGTGCAGAGGCGCAGCGCAGGTAGGCAGTACAAACGAACACAGGCAAAACGAACAAATACACGAACAAGACGAACGTACACGGAGTGGGCAAGAAAAGACACATACAGAACGAGAGGAACAAGACTGCGGGTGACAGGAAAAGGAGGCAGCTGCACCGGGACCAGGAGCAGCGTCGCATGCAGCTGCAGGGCCGTCGCCGTGGGCTGCTGCAGAGGCGGCTGCTGCAGGGGCGGCTGCTCGGGTCCAGGGGCAGCTGCAGCAGTGGCGGCTGCTCCAGGGGCCACCAGGGCGGGCTGCTGCAGGGGCGGCTGCACCAGGGGCGGCGTCGCGGGTCCAGGGGCGGCTGCACCAGGGGCGGCTGCACCAGGGGCGGCTGCTGCAGGGGCGGCTGCTGCAGGGGCGGCTGCACCAGGTGCGGCGTCGCGGGTCCAGGGGCGGCTGCACCAGGGGCGGCTGCACCAGGGGCGGCTGCTGCAGGGGCGGCTGCTCCAGGGGCGGCTGCTGCAGTTGCTGGCGGCTCCAGGGGCTGCTGCTGCAGTTGCGGGCGGCTCCAGGGGCTGCTGCTGCAGTGGCGGGCGGCTCCAGGGGCTGCTGCTGCAGTGGCGGGCGGCTCGAGGCGCGCCCTGGCCTGGCGCAGTCCGTACGGGCCGCGCGCGGGCCTGGCGCAGCCCGTACGGGCCGCGCGCGGGCCTGGCGCAGCCCGTACGGGCCGCGCGCGGGCCCTACGGAGGTCGCGCGGGCCACGACGGGCGACGGGGGGCGACGCGCGGGTCCCCGTCGCCCGTCGCAGCGCCTCCCGGGGGCGACGCGCGGAGTGACGGGGCAGAAAGCCGCCGCGCGCCTCGGGGCGCACGGCGGGCAGAAAACCGCCGCACGCTTCGAGGGCGCGGCGGGATGAAAAATTAGGGTTTCGCCGCCGCGCACCACGGGGCGCGCGGCGGACAGTACGGCAGCGGAAGCAGGTGGTGGGCCCATAGAGGTAAGCGGCAGGAACGTGCTGGCTCTGATACCATGTTAGAAACAATAGGAGTGGGGCCTAGGCTTAGTAGCCTAGGCCCACACTAAGAGGTAGTAGGATGTGCCCTAGGACTAGGGTTTTGGGTATGCGAAGGAGAATTGGAGAAGAGGAATGATGGAGGATGATTGAACTAGCAAGCAGGTTGGTACAAATAGGAAACCCTAAAGGGGTTGTACTCACTATTGAGCACCCCACTGCAGGCTAGACAAATAACATAATCTGACACATACCGCTACAAGACAGGAGCCAACAAAGGAAAATCCACCTTACTCAAACCCGCCGGCGTACGCGACTATCAGAGGAAGCTAGGATGCCTCCTCTTCGCAGCTGTTACCTGCCGTCCCGACCTCTCATACTCCGCAAGCCAGCTCGCTACCTACCTCAAGAAGCCCGAAACAGAGCACCTGGCGGAGCTCGACCGCGCTCTTCACTACTTCATCAGCACCCCGACGATCGGCCTAACCTACCACAAGAACGCAACTACACCAACCAAGCTAATCGGCTACGTCGACGCCGATCACGCCGGCGACTCCGACAACAGGCGCTCACGCACCGGCTACGTCTATCGCCTCGAACCTATCGGTCCTATCTCCTGGCAATCGAGCAAGCAGGAGTTAATCGCGCTATCTTCAGCTGAAGCAGAATACATTGCACTCTGCTCAGCCACCAAGGAGGGACTTTATCTTCGCGAGCTGCTGGAAGAAGCAAAGTTAGCCGAGTTACCCAACTTCACCCTGTTCTGCGACAATCAGTCAGCAATTCGCATCGCCAACAAGAACGGCTTCGCGAACAGGACGAAACACATCGCCCTGCGCTACTTCTTCGTGAAGGACGAGATCGAGAAGGGGAGACTCGAGCTGTCATACTGCCCCACGTCCGAGATGGCAGCTGACTATTTGACCAAGAAGCTCGGAAAGCAGAAGTTCGAGTACTGTATGCTGCTGACTGGACAGAGCCACGTCATCAGCAGCGACACTCCAGAAGCGAAGGGGAGTGTTGGAAACAGTGAATCTTAAGCGCTTCAGTCGTGTCGAAACATCGCACCAGAAGCGAAGCAAGCAGTACCGAAACAAACGCGAGTCAACCCTCGGAGGTTGAGAGGTTGCTGGAGGTTACGCGAAAGTCAAAGGTCAAGCGACCTTTGACCTGACAAATACAGCGCGACAGTTAAGGACACACAACTGACTCGTTACAGAGCAGTTGCCCGAGTCGTACTGTATCGAACCGCAACAGCAACAGTAAAGTAGTTACAAACTGCATCCTTTCATATTCCTTGTATTATTATATAATCTTGTACTTCCTTGCTATATAATCAATCTACTTTGCCCTCACATACCAGCGCAAGGTGGTTCATAATTCTTCATTAAACGCTTCCGCTATTACAACACTATCCTACCCAGAGTTCTCCCTTGAAAAGATCCTAAGGGGCTATCTCAGCCCAACAGATGGCACAAGCTCTACTGGAATTCATCCCCCTCCATCACTTGAGTGTTGCTGCATAACACGGCCCTTACAATGGGTTTTCCAACAGGCTCCTCGGATTCTTTTGATAGAATAAGAAACACTGAATCAATTTCAGAAATTAACATTTCACAATAAGATCCTTAAAGCTAAACATGCTGGTATCCTATCACCATATCTACGTATATCTCTAACCTATGCAAGCATCATCCACCACAGCCACACACCAGCCTCAAACCTTGAAACAGCAGGGCCGGCAGATTAGAGCGAGCAAGAAGCAATGCAGCAAGGCGGCGTGCACCCATCCCCTTCCATCCACCAAATCCACCCAGCATCCCAAACACCCTGACAGGCAGGGTGCAAAAAGTGGTGCTCCTCCGTTCCGTCCCACTCTCCTTGCCTCACCCCACCGTCACGCCACACCAGCTGCATTTCCCCTCGCTGCTGCTGCTGCTGCTGCTGCCCCTCTCGCCTCCCTCTCCTCCACCCGTCACGCTCACCACCACCGCCCACTCGTGCTCTTCCCCGCGCTGCTCCCCCCGCTGCCCCCGAAGGCGCGGATCATGGCGGGGTGGTTGCACACGTGCGCCATGGTGAGCCTCTCCTCCACGCGCACTCTCAGCATGCCGCTCACCAGCGCGCGGCATTCCTCAGACACGCCCTCCCACGCAGCCCCCTCCACTGGCGCCCGCCACTCGCCCTGCTGAGGCGCCTCCCCTGAGTAAGGTCGCTCGCCCGCAATCATTTCGTACAGCGTCACCCCCAGCGACCACACGTCAGCTGCGCGCCCATACCCCACTGCCTCTGCGCTTCCTACCTCCGCTCTCCCCGCTGCTTTTCTGGCGCGCTTGGCGGCGCGCGGGGCGGGCGGGCAGCGAGGGCGGCAGAGAGCCTCCACCTCAGGCGCCACGTACCCGGGCGTGCCTGCGGGAATGGTGCACCCGCGCTGCCCCTCCCCCACCACCTGCGCCAGCCCAAAGTCCGCCAGCCGCACTGCCCCCGCGGCCAGGCGGGGGGCAGCAGGAGAGGCGCGCGCAGGCGCAGCAGGAGCAGCGACGGCGGAGAGAGGCAGGGGGTTAGAGTGGGGCGTGGGGTGGGCGAAGAGGATGTTGTCGGGCTTGATGTCGCAGTGCACCACGCCTCGCTCGTGGCAGAACGCCACGGCGTCGCCCACGTGCTTCACCACTTCCAGCGCCTCCGCCTCCGCCATTCCCGCTCCCCGCGCGCCTTCCCCGCTCGCCTTCCCCCACCACCGCCTCCCCTTGCCTCTCCCCGCGTCCCCCGCGTTGTCGCTGGCGGCAGCCTTGCGTCGCTGCAGCAGGGCGCGGAGGTCGCCGCCGTGGCAGACATCGGAGAGCATGTACGCGTGGTGGTCGGCGAGATGCACCTCGCGCACGCCCAGCACGCCCGGGCACTCGCTCAGCGACGCCGACAGCATCGCCTCGTTCGACGCCGCCACCAGCTGTTTGCGCGCCACGCGCTTCACCGCCACTACCTCGCCGCTCTCCACCCGCCGCATCGCCACCACTGTGCCGAACCCGCCGCGCCCCAACTCGCCGGTTGCCTCGAACAGGTCGGGGTCGAGCACGCCGTCGTACGCGCTCAGCACGACCGGCCGACGGCACGCGCGCGGGGCAATGGGCGTAGCAGCGGCGCGGGGAGCGGGAGGTGCGGGGACTGCAGCCGGCACCGGTTTCGCGGATTTAGCGGCAAAGTCGCCGGAGCTGGAAAGCGTCGAAGCGACGGACGAAGCCGAGAGGTCCGACGAGGCGACGAGGTCAACGTTGACCGGCGTGGGTCCCGTTGACGAGGTCAACGCCTCGGACGGCGCGTACCACGACGCCGTGACGAGACCTGCCATTACAAACGCGGAGGAGAAACGGTTGGCACTCGCGTGCTAACCTAACTCTCTCTCGCGTCTACCTGAAAAGACAGAGGGGTTTTCTGGAAAGAGGGAGAAAGAGAGAGGAAGAAAAGGGGGGTCGAGGACCAAGGCTCGCGTTATTCTCAAGGAAAATGTCATGAGAAGAAGATCGGTTGAGAAGAAGAGTAAGACTAAGCTTCACGTCATGAAAAAATCTGCAGCTTACCTTCCAGATTAATCTCTTGTTCGTGCGCTTCGGTTTGGCCATCGATTATTGATTTCGCTAGCGACTTGCATGAGAAGGCGGTACTATCAACCGACGGCTGGGCCATCAAGGTGTCCATGGCCAGGAGCGTACGAAAAGGATTGATAGCTACTGGTAAAGAATCCCGCGCTGTTTCAGAGAGTGAGACTTGTAAGGCTCTCAGAGACTATTCTAGACTTATGTGAGATGGTCACAACAACCAAGCAGAAGCTCAATAGTTAGAGGAAGTCGTGCAAAGATACTGGTGTGCACTGAGCAAATACGAGAAAGAAGTGGCTCAAATGGCTCGACTTGTACGGGCGGCAAACAGACTCAAGGGAGAGGAAAATGGGCCTCGAGGATGGGAGAGCGGCTTCACTGGCCGGGGCCGGGGGAGCAAAAGTCGCCCCAGCGAGAGTCGCGGAAACATACCGCTTTGGACATGCCGAACCTGTTCAGGCTCGTCACGAGCCCCAAGCCTGACAACGAGATGTGGTTCGCCAGAATTCGCCTACGCATGTCGCTGGGCTGTTCAGGGCGAGAGCTGAGTTATGGCAAGCCCTGTCTTCCAGCATGCTGGGTTCCAGGCCTCTTGCCGAACCTCAGTTGGGGGTTTTGCTGAACCTAATTCGTCCGTTGACCCCGCTGCCCAAGTCAGGTTTGGCGGGAAGACCAAAACCTTATCCCGAAAGACTCGCGCGGTTCGCGGAAAAGATTCACATAAAAAACTTCAGCTCACATATTATACACCCTGAACCAACTGATAGCATGTGAAGGAAAATAACAAACAGAATTTCGATGCTCGAAGGTGGGTCAAATACTTGCCTTCCACTTTCGATCGGCAACCGAACTGAAATCCCGCTTCTCGCATCCACAGCTTTCAGGGCCTTATCGAACCCCTCCAACAAGGGAGAACGAGGACAAGCGTAACCCTTGGGCTCTGGGGAGCAATCACACAGTTTGGAACTCTGGTGTGTTGACCGAAGCTCACAGGTTCGGTGTGGGTCCCCGAGCCTCCTGCGTGAGCCATGACGTGTCCAAGGGTTTGCCGAAATTATTGACCCAGTACATGATAATTTGTGCTGACGTTTGTGTAATTGCGAATGCTCGACTTCTCGTCAGAATTGCCTTGCCGATATGCGAGTGGAGCGAAGCTAAGCCATCTCCCCTCGAGTCGCGTCCCGTGGGGTGAGGCTGTCAGCGGGTGGCTAGTGCGGTGCGTGCTTGCCGAGGACTCGCAACAGTTCCAGCAGATGGCGTCCTTAAAAACCGCTGCTCGATTTCACCAGTCATTCTTGAAACGCACTTCACGCCTCCTACTCTCAGCTACCGTCGCACGCGCCATTGTGCTCGTTTCGAGATATTCCGCCGAGAGTCCTGAGTTACCACCGTACCTAACGCGACGTTGGTCCCTCGGCACGTCATCATGGCGTTTCTCGTTTGCGTGCTTCTACTCGCCGCGGCGCTTCTCTCCCCCGCCGTGACCACCGGCACCGCCACCGCCACGGCCCTGGATGGCTATCACAGCAGCAGTTTTGTGACCAAACGTCTGTCGCGTGTCTCGCCAGATGTCACATTCGTCGCGGGCCTTCGTCGTCCGTCCGTCGCCGCTCGTCGCCTGAGCGTCGGAGTGGCGCGGCCACCAGCGGCGAGCCCGCGGCCGCGCGATGTGAAGCTCGCAGCGCCGCAGTGTGAGTCGCCTCGTACCGACGACATAAACCATCTGCAAAATGATGCTCAGCAAAGGATGAGGAGCTATTCCATAAGTATAAGGGGGCCTTAGACTCCCTGGGAAGGCACGGCTGCGTCGCATTCGGGTCACATCGATGATGAGGCTATTTTGGGATATTATTTGGGATAAGTTCCGAGACTAAGCTTCAGCCCTCATGGACGTAACTCCAAAGGATTCCTCTCTTCCCGCCCTCCCCCACTTCACCTATCTCTGCCCCCGGTCCCTCCCCCTCCCCTTCCCGTCCCCCATCCCGTTCCCCCTCCCTCCCCTTCCTTCCCCTCGCGCTCCCCTCTCCCTCCCTTTCTCCTCCCGCCCGCGGCGGCGGCAGTGGCGGCGCTGGTGGCGCTGACGGGGGGGAATGCGACGGCCGAGATGTGCTCCGAGTGGCTAGGCGTCACATGCGACCGCCGAGGCATGGTCACCAAGATGTGAGACACGCGAGGCTTTTGAATGGGGCTATATGCTGGGCTTTCGGATATGCTGGGCTTTCGGATATGCTGGGCTTTCGGATATGCTGGGCTTTCGAATACGCTGGGCGCCACACATATGCGTATGTGAGAAATCTAAAAGCGACTGATTGAATCCACTTGTGTGGTGTGGTGCTGTGCGATGGAGAGGAGCAGAGATCTGCAGGAGTATCCCATCTCTGCGTTCACTGCTGCCCCACCGGGAACCCTGCCTGCCGACATCGGTGCCTTCAATGCCCTCCAAGTCCTGTCAGTCCTTCCTGCTAATCCCTTCCCCTCGCCTGCTCCTCTCCCCCTCCTGCCCCTCCCTCCCTTCTTCCAATCTATCACTCACTGTGTACTAACTTCTCAGAATGATTCCTTTTCCTTGTACCTTTTGTATTGTCATTCTTTTGCACCTTTTTTTCTTGTGTTGAGCAGAATTTTTGAGAATTCTCAAACCACGCTCCCATTACCACCTCCTCTGACACACATCTCCTCTCTCGCCTAATCTCTCCCTCCCCAGCCATCCTTCCCCCCCCACCCACTCAACCTTCTGAAGCGTGTGCAACTAACCTTCTAGGCGCCTCAAAACTGCAACACGCCCGTCACCCGTCTCCTCCTTCCTCGCCCGTCTCCTCTCCCCCACCCTTGCCTTTCCGTTCCCCCAACCTGCTCCCCACAACGCACCTCCGTCTCACCAGGAGGCTTCCCCAGCAGAACCTCTCTGGGTCCATCCCCACAGAGGCCTTTACAAGCCTCACCTCCCTTCGTGAACTGTGAGCCCTCTGTGCCATGGATGCTCCTTCCTTCCCCCTGCTCGCTCCTGCTCGCTTCTCCTGCTCGCTTCTCCTGCTCGCTCCTCCTGCTCGCTTCTCCTGCTCGCTTCTCGCTCCTCCTGCTCACTTCTCCTGCTCGCTTTTCGCTTTTCACTTCTCCTGCTCGCCATGACCAATCAATCCGCATGCCCATTTGCTTTCACGCCAAACCTTATTTGCGCGTGTGCATGAAGCCCACGCTGTGCGTGTTCACCTCACCTCGCCTTCATATCCCCTCAACCCTCTCATCCCACCGCCCTCTCATCCTCTCATCCCACCGCCCTCTCATCCGCTCACCCCACCCCCCTGCAGCGATCTCTCCTCCAACCCTCTGGACGGCAGCCTCGAGTTTCTAGCCTACCTTCCCTCCTTGCAATACCTGTACGCCCCCGCTCCTCTCGTGTGTGCGCGGCTGATCGTCTCAGACGTGCTCGCCCCCCGCCTTGTTCAGTCATTCCATATTCGTCCCACCTAATCCCCAAGTTGGCGCTCAATCGCTTACATCCACGCACACTCAACCCCAAGCAAGAACCAATTTTTGAAATCCTCATGTGGTGGCCCCCTCGCACACGGCAGCGATCTGCACGCCACTGAGCTGACTGGGGAGATCCCCGCCGCCCTCGGCAATGCAACCGCCCTCTCGTACCTGTGAGTCACGGCCTTCCCTCCCCTCCCCTCGACTCCTCTCCTCCCCTCCTCCTGACTCCTCTCCTTCCCTCCTCTTGTCTCTTCTCCCCTCCTCTCCTCTCCTCTCCTCTCCTCTCCTCTCCTCTCCTCCCCTACTCTCATCTCCTCTCCTCCCCTTCTCTCCCCTCCTCTTCTCCCCTCCTCGTTTCTCCTCCCCCGCAATGATTACCACTCAGCACTATGCGCCATACCTTGTCTGTGCTTGTGTGCCCCATGTCGCTGTTCTTATCTTCCTGTCTCCCATCTTCATACCAAATCCTAAACGAACCTTGCGGACTGTGAGCCCTGTCGTGCCATGGATGCTCGCTTCTCCTGCTCGTTCCTCCTGCTCGTTCCTCTTACTCGCTTCTCCCGCTCGTTACCCCTGCCCACTTCTCCTGCTCGTTCCCTCTGCTCGCTTCTCCTGCAACATAACCGATCAATCTGCCTGCATGCCCCCTTGCTTTCACGCCGTGCCTTCGCCTCACCTCACCTACATATCCCCTCAATCTTCACATCAAACCGCCATCTGATCCTCTCATCCTCTCACCCTCTGCACCCACCGCCCTGCAGCGATCTCTCCTCCAGCCCTCTGAATGGCAGCCTGGGGTTTCTTGGCTATCTGCCCTTCTTGCAATACCTGTACGCCCCCGCTCCTCTCGTGTGTGCACATCTGCTCGACCCAGACGTGCTCATATCAACCCCCTCCTTGTTCATCCCACATGCCATTCCATACTCATCCCACCTGTTCCTAAGTCAACGTTCGATCGCTTACGTGCCACACACACTCACCCCCAAGCAAGCACCCATATTGAGCACCCGTATTTCCTCCCCTCCCACACACGGCAGCGATCTGCACGCCACTCAGCTAACTGGGCAGATCCCTGCCGCCCTCAGCAAATCCACCGCCCTCTCATACCTGTGAGTCACGACCCAACCTCACTGCACTGCCCACCCAGCTTCCAGGTGTGAGGAGAGATGGTGCGTCAATAGAATGACATAGCTTTTGTTAGATCTCAAAAGTTCCTGCCTTGACACAGAAATGAACGACCAGGTGCCCTTTTCGATGGGAGGTTGCATACACTCTCATATCCATTTCCAGCCAACAGCGATGCGAAAGAGCACACACTCTCGACCATCACATTGTGCGATAGCCATTCCGCTAGTCTCTGCTCCTTGACTTGACTCCAGAAGTTCTCCTCTCTTCCCTCCCTCACCTTCCTCTCCTTCCCTCCTCTCCTCTCCTCTCGTCTCCTCTCCTCTCGTCTCCTCCCCTTCTCTCCTCTCCTGTCCTCCCCTCCTCGTTCTCTTCTCCCACAATGAATCCCACTCAGCACTATGCGCCATGCGTCATCCGTGTTTGTGTGCCCCATGTCGCTGTTCTTCTCGTCCTGCCTCCTGTCGCCGTACCGAATCCTTCGCAATTCGTGCTTCCTCCTCCTCTCCCCCCACCTCCAGGTCCCTCAAAGGACTCAATCTCACAGCAGGGCAGCTCCCTGCCTCTCTCTCCGCCCTCGCTAAACTCGCTTACCTGTAAGCAGGCCGTGGTGCACGCACCGCGCGTCAAGAGTGCTCCCGTGAGTGCTCCTCTTCTCACACTCAACCAGGGAGGGTGACTGCTATTTGGTAGTAGGCAAGGCAGTGGTGACATGCCATCACATGCCTGAGATGAGATGTGTGATATGTGCTGTTTCTTTTTCAACCTTTGTCATCGGTTCGAGTTGCTAAATTCGCGTGTGCATACAAGCAATGCCACCTGATGTTACCGCACCGCTTGCTGCCATCCACTGTGGAGCAGGGACCTGAGCTGTCTGAAGTTCACCAGCGTGCCATCGTGGATCGCCCTACTCTCCAAGCTGCAGTTTCTGTAACTACCACTCCACCAACCCTGCTTTCCCCATCCATCCACCCTCTTTTGACTAGCTGTATCCTACGTTGCTCTTATGTTACTCTAGCCCTACTCTTATGCCACTCTAGCAATCTCACGTTTCTCTCACGTTGCTATTCGTCTTGCTACTATTGCACTGCACTGCACCACCATCCACTACTGCCACCACCCACCTCGCCACCCACCTTGCCCTCCCCTCGCCACCCACCTCCTCGCCACCCACCTTGCCCTCCCCTCGCCACCCACCTTGCCCTCCCCTCGCCACCCACCTTGCCCTCCCCTCGCCACCCACCTTGCCCTCCCCTCGCCACCCACCTTGCCCTCCCCTCGCCACCCACCTTGCCCTCCCCTCGCCACCCACCTTGCCCTCCCCTCGCCACCCACCTTGCCCTCCCCTCGCCACCCACCTTGCCCTCCCCTCGCCACCCACCTTGCCCTCCCCTCGCCACCCACCTTGCCCTCCCCTCGCCACCCACCTTGCCCTCCCCTCGCCACCCACCTTGCCCTCCCCTCGCCACCCACCTTGCCCTCCCCTCGCCACCCACCTTGCCCTCCCCTCGCCACCCACCTTGCCCTCCCCTCGCCACCCACCTTGCCCTCCCCTCGCCACCCACCTTGCCCTCCCCTCGCCACCCACCTTGCCCTCCCCTCGCCACCCACCTTGCCCTCCCCTCGCCACCCACCTTGCCCTCCCCTCGCCACCCACCTTGCCCTCCCCTCGCCACCCACCTTGCCCTCCCCTCGCCACCCACCTTGCCCTCCCCTCGCCACCCACCTTGCCCTCCCCTCGCCACCCACCTTGCCCTCCCCTCGCCACCCACCTTGCCCTCCCCTCGCCACCCACCTTGCCCTCCCCTCGCCACCCACCTTGCCCTCCCCTCGCCACCCACCTTGCCCTCCCCTCGCCACCCACCTTGCCCTCCCCTCGCCACCCACCTTGCCCTCCCCTCGCCACCCACCTTGCCCTCCCCTCGCCACCCACCTTGCCCTCCCCTCGCCACCCACCTTGCCCTCCCCTCGCCACCCACCTTGCCCTCCCCTCGCCACCCACCTTGCCCTCCCCTCGCCACCCACCTTGCCCTCCCCTCGCCACCCACCTTGCCCTCCCCTCGCCACCCACCTTGCCCTCCCCTCGCCACCCACCTTGCCCTCCCCTCGCCACCCACCTTGCCCTCCCCTCGCCACCCACCTTGCCCTCCCCTCGCCACCCACCTTGCCCTCCCCTCGCCACCCACCTTGCCCTCCCCTCGCCACCCACCTTGCCCTCCCCTCGCCACCCACCTTGCCCTCCCCTCGCCACCCACCTTGCCCTCCCCTCGCCACCCACCTTGCCCTCCCCTCGCCACCCACCTTGCCCTCCCCTCGCCACCCACCTTGCCCTCCCCTCGCCACCCACCTTGCCCTCCCCTCGCCACCCACCTTGCCCTCCCCTCGCCACCCACCTTGCCCTCCCCTCGCCACCCACCTTGCCCTCCCCTCGCCACCCACCTTGCCCTCCCCTCGCCACCCACCTTGCCCTCCCCTCGCCACCCACCTTGCCCTCCCCTCGCCACCCACCTTGCCCTCCCCTCGCCACCCACCTTGCCCTCCCCTCGCCACCCACCTTGCCCTCCCCTCGCCACCCACCTTGCCCTCCCCTCGCCACCCACCTTGCCCTCCCCTCGCCACCCACCTTGCCCTCCCCTCGCCACCCACCTTGCCCTCCCCTCGCCACCCACCTTGCCCTCCCCTCGCCACCCACCTTGCCCTCCCCTCGCCACCCACCTTGCCCTCCCCTCGCCACCCACCTTGCCCTCCCCTCGCCACCCACCTTGCCCTCCCCTCGCCACCCACCTTGCCCTCCCCTCGCCACCCACCTTGCCCTCCCCTCGCCACCCACCTTGCCCTCCCCTCGCCACCCACCTTGCCCTCCCCTCGCCACCCACCTTGCCCTCCCCTCGCCACCCACCTTGCCCTCCCCTCGCCACCCACCTTGCCCTCCCCTCGCCACCCACCTTGCCCTCCCCTCGCCACCCACCTTGCCCTCCCCTCGCCACCCACCTTGCCCTCCCCTCGCCACCCACCTTGCCCTCCCCTCGCCACCCACCTTGCCCTCCCCTCGCCACCCACCTTGCCCTCCCCTCGCCACCCACCTTGCCCTCCCCTCGCCACCCACCTTGCCCTCCCCTCGCCACCCACCTTGCCCTCCCCTCGCCACCCACCTTGCCCTCCCCTCGCCACCCACCTTGCCCTCCCCTCGCCACCCACCTTGCCCTCCCCTCGCCACCCACCTTGCCCTCCCCTCGCCACCCACCTTGCCCTCCCCTCGCCACCCACCTTGCCCTCCCCTCGCCACCCACCTTGCCCTCCCCTCGCCACCCACCTTGCCCTCCCCTCGCCACCCACCTTGCCCTCCCCTCGCCACCCACCTTGCCCTCCCCTCGCCACCCACCTTGCCCTCCCCTCGCCACCCACCTTGCCCTCCCCTCGCCACCCACCTTGCCCTCCCCTCGCCACCCACCTTGCCCTCCCCTCGCCACCCACCTTGCCCTCCCCTCGCCACCCACCTTGCCCTCCCCTCGCCACCCACCTTGCCCTCCCCTCGCCACCCACCTTGCCCTCCCCTCGCCACCCACCTTGCCCTCCCCTCGCCACCCACCTTGCCCTCCCCTCGCCACCCACCTTGCCCTCCCCTCGCCACCCACCTTGCCCTCCCCTCGCCACCCACCTTGCCCTCCCCTCGCCACCCACCTTGCCCTCCCCTCGCCACCCACCTTGCCCTCCCCTCGCCACCCACCTTGCCCTCCCCTCGCCACCCACCTTGCCCTCCCCTCGCCACCCACCTTGCCCTCCCCTCGCCACCCACCTTGCCCTCCCCTCGCCACCCACCTTGCCCTCCCCTCGCCACCCACCTTGCCCTCCCCTCGCCACCCACCTTGCCCTCCCCTCGCCACCCACCTTGCCCTCCCCTCGCCACCCACCTTGCCCTCCCCTCCCCTCGCCACCCACCTTGCCCTCCCCTCGCCACCCACCTTGCCCTCCCCTCGCCACCCACCTTGCCCTCCCCTCGCCACCCACCTTGCCCTCCCCTCGCCACCCACCTTGCCCTCCCCTCGCCACCCACCTTGCCCTCCCCTCGCCACCCACCTTGCCCTCCCCTCGCCACCCACCTTGCCCTCCCCTCGCCACCCACCTTGCCCTCCCCTCGCCACCCACCTTGCCCTCCCCTCGCCACACCACCCAACTTGCTTTCCCTCCTCACTGCAGGGATGTGACGGCACCCAGCGGCCTCACCCCCGCGCGCTCCTCGCCCTTTCCAGCCAACATTACGAATCTCACCAGCCTCAACACCCTGTGAGCTGCTGCCTGTTGTGCGTGTCCCACCGCATGTGCTGCTCGTGTCCCACCCGGCCGTGTAGACGCCTAGAGAAAGCCAGCAGCGGCTGCACCAGCAGCAGGGGCAGGCCGGCACAGCAGCACAGCATGCCTCGTAGTAGCCTGATTGCGTTGGCTGGGCTGGAAATACATAGATACACTCAAGTGGCCTCTTTCAGAAACCCTCTGCCTCTTGTGTGTTTGTCACATAGCATTCTGCATTCCAGCGTCCACTCATGCACGAACCGTGCTGCGCTGCTCTGCTCTGCTCTTCGCTGCTCGTCTCTGCTCTGCTCTGCCCTGCCCTACTTCATGCGCCACACTCTCTCCCTGCTCGCAGGAGGGCAGCAGGTAACGGCCTCTCAGGCTCCCTCCCCGCCACCGTCTCCGCCCTCACCGGCCTCTCAGAGCTGTACGCCTCCCCTCTCTCCTCCGGCTGCCTTTCGAATATGGATCCTTTGCTGTGACTCTGTATCACCAAGGGTTTGTCTTACAGGCTACAGGCCTCATAGAGTTGGGCCTGCGAGTGGTGGCACCATAACATTGCTACAACAGTGTCCTCCTCGCTCTGATACTTCAACAGTGGAAATTTCGTCTGTATGTCTGTCTGCCCGCCTGCCTGCCTGCCTGCCTGCCTACCTACCTGCAGTGATCTCGCGTATAACAGACTTGGCGGCTCCCTCCCTGCCCTGCCCTCCACGCTGCTTCGTCTGTGGGTCTCGGGCGGGGGAAGGCTGGGAGAGAGTGGAAGACAAGGGGAGTGGGAACAAGGGCTGAGAGAATGTGGAAGAGGGGAAAGGGGAGGAAGAGGGGCATGTTGAGAGAAACTGGGTCTTGTGGTGAGGGGGGTCTCACTTGTGGCTCGCTGCTGGTGCTCCCTTGATTGAACCCCAAGCACTCTGCTCTGCTCATGTGATGTCGTTCCACTCAGTCAACTGCTCTTGCCTTTTCCTCAATCACACACACGGACACGCATCCGATTGCGGTGTCCCCATCTGGTGTCCCATGCATTGTCCCCATTGTTCCGCCTGCTTTCATGTGTTGCCCCCATTGCCCCCGTGCATTGCCCCCATTGCCCCCATTGCTCTGGTCAGTTCACTGAGCCACAACGCCCTGGAGGGTCCCATCCCTGCCTCTTTTGCTGCCCCGCAACTCATAGACTTGTGAGGTGGCATGCATGGGCGTCAGGGGCATGTGGCATGCATGGGCGTCAGGGGCATGTGGCATGCATGGGCGTCAGGGGCATGTGGCATGCATGGGCGTCAGGGGCATGTGGCATGCATGGGACTTGATAGTGGTTTGCTTGCCGTCGCTTCTTCCCTTTGCTCAGGTGAAAAAAAAAATTACTCCTCCCTCACACTCCCTCCCTCCCGGCTCATATCTTGGCCGTTTCTTCCTTCCTCTCCCCCAATCTCTCAATCTCCCAACCTCCCCACTCCATGTCTCCCTCACGGCAGGGATCTGAGTCACAATCTGCTCTCAGGACCCATCCCAGCATCCTTCACAGCCCTCACTTCCCTCACCAGTGTGTAAGTTCGCAGCAGCACACATCTCCCATCTCCCATCTCCCATCTCCCATCTCCCATCTCCCATCTCCCATCTCCCATCTCCCATCTCCCATCTCCCATCTCCCATCTCCCATCTCCCATCCCCCATCTCCCATCTCCCATCCCCCATCCCCCATCCCCCATCTCCCATCCCCATCCCCATCCCCCATCCCCCATCCCCCATCCCCCATCCCCCATCCCCCATCCCCCATCCCCCATCCCCCATCCCCCATCCCCCATCCCCCATCCCATCCCCCATCCCCCATCCCCCATCCCCCATCCCCCATCCCCCATCCCCCATCTCCCATCCCCCATCCCCCATCCCCCATCCCCCATCCCCCATCCCCCATCCCCCATCTCCCATCCCCCATCCCCCATCCCCCATCCCCCATCCCCCATCCCGCATCCACCATCCCGGTCTCGCATACATGTGTTTTGGGTCGACTTAAGGCACACCTTCCCACTTGTCTGCCTGGTCCCAAGCAGCTCTGCCCCCAAGCAGCTCTGCCCCCAAGCAGCTCTGCCCCCAAGCAGCTCTGCCCCCAAGCAGCTCTGCCCCCAAGCAGCTCTGCCCCCAAGCAGCTCTGCCCCCAAGCAGCTCTGCCCCCAAGCAGCTCTGCCCCCAAGCAGCTCTGCCCCCAAACCAAACTGCTTCCAGACCAACTGGCTAATGGAATGAGCTGGGGCTCCATTCATGCCCCGTTAACATGCCATGCCATTTCCATGCGATTTCCACCCCATTCCCATCCCATACCCGTAACCCATGCCATACCCCCGTGGGTCCCACACACAGGGACATCAGCCACAATGCCTTCTCAGGCAGCGCGGACGTGTTTTCACTCATGCCAAGCATCTCCAACCTGTGAGCACCATGGCATCCGACCGCCCTCCTTGCCGTGTCGTGTCGTTTTGAAGCTTACTCCTCTATTCCTTGGACGGACGGTTAATACAGCTGGGTCTCATGTCTCGCCGTTTTTTTTTGCGCTTGGGGCTTACATTTGGGGCTGGGGAAACAAACAAAGAGCTTCGAACCAATGTTCTCCCCGTGCCACCCTTTCTTCCACTCTCCCCACTCACTCCTAAGTCAGCAAGGGCCTCTGGCTAGTTCTTATCATGCTATTACAATGTTTCAGAATGAAAATAACAATCATGTAAATCAAATTTCGAGAATGAATGCAGGCACAGTTCGTCTAATTGTGTTCACCACGTTTGTTCCGAGAGTGTCTCGTTTCACCCGAAGGCGCACACGCAACCTGCCTGGCATCGCCAAACACCTCTTTACATTGGATTGGAATGGGTGCTGTGCCCATCACTCGCCATGCCCATCACTCGCCATGCCCATCACTCGCCATGCCCATCACTCGCCATGCCCATCACTCGCCGGTCCCACCTCCAATCCACCCCCAAGTCACTCGTGTTCCTGATACCTCAACTCCTCACTTCCTCCCTTCGCCTTCTTCCTATCAACTCCCTCCTTGTGCCTTTCTTGTTTCCCTGCCCTACAGGAACATCGGATCGTGCAACTTCTCCGGCCCCTTCCTCTCAAACCTCACCTATGTCAACCTGTATGCAAAGCCTCCTCCCCACACACGCCACCCAAGCTGCTCCCGCACTCTCCTGTGCTCCCGCACTCTCCTGTGCTCCCGCACTCTCCTCGCTCTCCTCGCTCTCCTCGCTCTCCTCGCTCTCCTCGCTCTCCTCGCTCTCCTCGCTCTCCTCGCTCTCCTCGCTCTCTCTCTCTCTCTCTCCTCACTCTGCTCTCTGTACACGCCACACACTCGCTGTCCGCCTTCCTACCTCCTCTCCTCTCACCCTCTCCTTACAACCTGTCCCACTTGCCCTCCCACCCTCAATGTCCGCCCTGCATGGCACTCTTCCTCCGCCCTACCCACCTTCCCCACTGCCCACCTTCCCCACTTCCCGCCCTCCCCACCCTCACTTCCAACCCTCTTCTGTACCCTTCCTGCTCTCCTCTCTGCAGCGACATTTCCAACAACAGCTTCACGGGGCCCTTCCCCTCCGCCATGCTATCCGTGCCACTCTTCAACTCCCTGTACGCATGCATGCACACATGCACACATGCACACATGCATACATGCACACATGCACACACGCATGCACACGTGCATGTACGCATGCACACATGCACGCATGCACACATGCACACATGCACACATGCATGCACACATGCACACATGCACACACACATGCACACATGCACACATGCATGCACACATGCACACATGCACACACGCATGCATATTCCCACCTGCACTCCCAACTTACCATCGCGCGCCCTACTTGCTCGTCTCATGCTGTGCCTCACACACCCTTGATGCATGCATGCACCACCCTCTGCTGTACCATTCACCACGTGTTACTTGGGCAACGATATTCCAATCTCCTGCAGATTGTTTCACACATCACATGTTTGGGAACTTGTGGTACACTTACCACCACTTGCCAACATGGCTCTCTCTTATGCTGCTATGCCCCAACAACAATCATTTTCGTGTGTTCAAGTGTATTTCGTCAAACGAGAGACTGGCCTGTATGATCCTCTCACCCTGCCTGTGCTGCCTCCTCGCAGCAACCTATCAGCCAACAACTTTTCTGGCCCGCTGCCCTCACAGCTCACGAATCTCACATTCATAAAGAGCCTGTCAGTCTTTCTTCTCTTGTCAGAAGGTGTATATCGGCTTTAATCATAAGGTGTATGTTGAGTCGAAGCGAAATACGCCACTTTACATTGCGAATTTGGAAGTCATCTGTTATCTTGATTTTAGAAGATGACACAAAAGTTGAAAGCAATATTGCTGCTCAATCAGCAATCAGCAGCAGTCCATCCACACCACACCACCGCATGCGACTCTCTCCTTTATCATCGATGCCTCTCCATCCGCACCACAGTAGCCTCTTATTCTCAATCGCTTTTGCGATCCAAAAGTTTGAAGGGAGCATTGCAACATTTCCATGCTAAATCTCCTTGTATGTCCTTATCTCTCTCCCCCCCCCCCCCCCCCCCCGCTTTCCTGCCCCTCCCAACGCATCCCTATCCCTTCAGTGACATCTCTCACAATCAGTTCACTGGAGTTGTGCCCCCTACCGTCTTCACCCTGCCTTTGCTATCGGCCCTGTAAGTCCACTCCCTTGCACCCTTGCCTCCCTTTCTTGCCTCCTTCCCTTCCAATCAGCCTTGTCGTCATTCTTTGCGTTCATACCCCTCGCACCCGCCCCTGATCCCCTCACCAGCGACATCAGCAGCAACCAGTTTACCGGTACCCTGCCGCCCTCCATTGCCCTCTCCACCTCTCTCAACCTCCTGTAAGCCACGCCCACCCACGCCCTCCCACGCCGGCCCACCCATGCCCAACCATGGCCAGCCCTTCCCAGCACAGCCGAAGCATGAAACATGCCGGGGAGTGTGGGGCAGGGGGTTTGACATCGGAAAGACGATACACATGCGTGTTATATAGCACATCACCCATACATGCACCCATGCACCCATGCACCCATGCACCTAAGCACACATGCACCCATGTCGCTCAGGTACTGGTAATGCCTCGTGCCTCTCAGAAACGACAACCACATCTTGCTTGGTAATGCTTCTTTAAGCCACGCGTAGTAGTCGACTCAAAAGTCACCTTGCTTCGTAATGCTTCTTCAAGCCATGCCACCACATGCACGCATGTGCGCCACTCTCCGTCATTCTCCTCGCCCATTCCTTTCCTCCGCTTCCCCTCGCCACGGCCGTCACCGCCAGCAACAGCACAGCGTCGGGGCTGACCTGCGCGGCGGACGGCAGCGAGTGTGGGGCGAAGCAGAGCACCGCCTCCTCCTTCTGCCGCCTCTGCTCCTCCTTCTGCTCCTCCTGCACGCCCCTTGAGCGTGAGTGGCACCCATACTCTGCGTGCAGGTGCTTTCTTACATGCACCCACAGATGCATCCTGTACACATGCACACCAGCACAGCTACAGATGGCTGCCAGGCTCAGTTTTTGAGGGGCCAGAAAAATGCTTTCTCGCGTGAACCCTCAAATGCATCCTGTACATCTGTGGGTGCACACCAGCACAGCTACAAACAGCTGTCGGACACAGAATGCTATGGTTGATTCAGTTCACCACATATGTCGTGCATGCACGCAGCAGTATGGCATGTGCATTTGCAGGTGCATGCATGTGCATGTGCATGCATGGAGCTCCTGTGTGCTGGGATCTGAGTATGTGTCTGTCACTCCATGCGTTGTTGCCCCACACCCCAGTGTCAGCACTCACGACAACATCGCCAGCACCGCCAGTGCCGCAGCCACCATCTGCCCCCCCCCAGGCTCCTCCTCCCCCTGCTAGCTCTCCTTCCAAGCCCGCATCTGGGCTTTCCACGCCCACAGCTGCTGCTTTCAGCCTCTCTGCTGCTGCGGTTCTGTCGCTCCTTGTGTTTACTGTATAAGAAGCAGCTTATGAGAATCTGCACGATATGCTTCTCCGCATATCTTCGGACAGTTCAAGAAAGCTGATGGTGTCGCCGCGTGCCACACCACCCACGCGACTTTGCACGCACCCCGCAAGCCGGAAAAAGCTCCAAATAAGATGTCGCCTTACAGTGAGATACGGTATGTGATCGGGAAGAGTCTGTTTAGATTAGAGGTTGGCATGATAGGGAGGAAGTGTAGAGGGAACACGCTCCAATAATTTACGTGTCCTCAGTAACAACATCCTTCCTGTTATGTGCGTTTATCCAACTTATGGGCAGTCACAAAATTCTGAGCGTGTTATATTTCGTTTCCTAAATGGATTTTCATGTGTATCTAGTAAAAAACTCTAGAGAGTGCATTGTTATGGCTTGGAATATCAAGCGTTGTAGTCCTAAAAAACACTCTCCGGCATCCTCTGCTTCTCCTGACTCTGCTCGTACCGAGGATTTCGACACACAATCACTTACCTGCTCACGGGATCATCCTTGCCGCAAGTCACGCAAGACCTTCGCAGGCCAGAGCTAACTCCCTCCCGTCCCCCGACAGAGTCGTCTACTACCGTCACCCTTGTCGAGTCTTCCGTCACAACCCTTCAACGAATCCCAATTGAGAATTTTCCAAAGCCGCTCACATGGAAGCTCTCTCGCACGCCATCGCGCGCCCGTCACGGTCCGGCCTCCCACCAGCCGCTATTGGCGCCATAAGCAACCTCGTAAGCTCCGCCTTCGCCGCTCCCTCTTTTTCGCCTCCGCGCCTGCCCCTGCGGGATCCGCGACAGGTCCTATCGGGAAGTTTTCCTTCGTTGTCGTTACCCTATTCGCTAGCATTCGCCAGGGGGCCGCGTGCCATACCGGCCGGCGATCGCGTCGGTGGCGGTAACCCTAAAGGAAGCAGCCGCGGGGGGAACGGTTTAAAGAGACGCTGTGCGCGCAACAGCAGTGGTGCAGTAAGCGAGGGGAAGCAGCAGCGCGCGGGTGTTAGGTTTCCGCTTCCGCGGAGAGGATTATGGCGCGCGGAGGCGGCGGGGGGAGCGGGCGGAAGGCGCGCCGTGCTCGCGCGGTCGTACCGGTGGAGCGACGATGACGTGGTGGCGTTTGGCGGAGGCGTGGAGGGAAAGTTCGAGGAAGCTGTGGCGCTGTTCAACGAAGGGCAATTCTACAAGTGCGTGTGGGGTGAGAGGGGGGCGATAGTGGGGGGAAGGGGAAGAGAAACGGGGAAGGTGCGGTGGAGGGACTGGGAGAGAGAAATGAGCTCAGGGCGTCAGATGATGAATGGTGTGTGTGGGACTGAAGGGGGTTGATATGAATTGGTAGACATGAATTGTGAAGGCCAGGCCCAACATTGGTGATACCATTGACAAGCAATAAGGCACTTTCATGTGCCATCTATGTGGAGTGCTGTTGGGCCTCCTTGCCGTCTGCTTGGGCTGGATGGAGGCGGATGCTGCATGAGTAACACTCTTTTTCATGCCGCTTGTGTGCTGGGGAATGACGAGTGGGATATGGGGAATGATGTGTGGGATATGGGGAATGATGTGTGGGATATGGGGCATGGTGGCATGGTGGCATGGTGGCATGGTGGCATGGTGGCATGGTGGCATGGTGGCATGGTGGCATGGTGGCATGGTGGCATGGTGGCATGGTGGCATGGTGGCATGGTGGCATGGTGGCATGGTGCATGGTGCATGGTGGCATGGTGCATGGTGCATGGTGGCATGGTGCATGGTGCATGGTGCATGGTGCATGGTGCATGGTGCATGGTGGCATGGCAGGTGCCATGACCTACTAGAGGAGATGTGGCATCAGTCAGCGGAGCCGCAGCGAGGCATGCTGCACGGGCTGCTGCAGTGCGCTGTGGGCATGGTGCATCTGCTCAACCAGGTGTGCTGTCCCATGACATGACATGACATGACATGACATGACATGACATGACATGACATGACATGACATGACATGACACCCATGCATGCATGTCTGCTCCTGGCGGCATTCATTGGCAAGGCATGTCCATTTTGACATGCATGGTCTCAGACATGGTTAGAATTCACGGAGTCATCGCCGCTGCTCCATCTCCTTTCTGCCTCACAGTTATGTCTGCCACGTGTCACTGCCTCCTTCCCGATTACAGTCTCTTTGGCTGTCCTATCATCCCCTTTTAATGCGGCCTTCCAAAGTCCTCCTCCCACGTCCTCCACCCACGTGCAGAACAACAGTGGAGCCATGATGGAGTTTGGCGAGGGAGTGAACAAGCTGCGTTGACTTTTGAGTCAATAAAAAGGTCGTTTTCCTTCCCCACACGCCCCACCCACGTGCAGAACCACAGCGGAGCCATGATGGAGTTTGGCGAGGGCGTGAACAAGCTGCGCCGTGCCATTGCAGCCACGGGGGGCGGGGGCCCCTCGGGCAGCTTTGCAGCGTTTGAGGCAGAGGCGGGCGCCGTGCTGGAGTTCATCTACAACACCCAGCTTGAATTCGCCGCCTGTGAGTGCCCGCGTTGGTGCCTTTGAGGCTTGGCAAAGGGAAGAAAGGCGGGCGCCGTGCTGGAGTTCATCTACAACACCCAGCTTGAATTCGCTGCCTGTAAGTGCCCGGGGCCTTTGCTGACATTAGCCACATACCGTCGACTGATTCTGGGCGCGTCCATGGCTCGGAGACGTCACCCTCCCTCCCTCCCTCCCACGCACACCCCTCCCTCCCATGCACCCAACAACCTCCCCTCTCCCCCCCCCCTTTCCCAACCCGCCCGGCCTTGCAGGTTCCGAGGTGGAGTGTGTGACGATGGACGGGTCAGAAGAGAGCTACTCTCTGCTGGGCGACTACGGCGCAGGGCAGCAGCTCTACCGCGTGCGCACCGACCCTGCCACCCAGCAGCGCCGCCTCGAGTTCTGCTCGCTGCTGCCCTTCCGCCAGGCCGTGGTGGGGGATGGTGCAGGCAGTGGGAGTGAGAGTGAGGGGGAGGGCGGGGAGGGCGTGAGGGCGGGGGTGACGAGGGCGTCGGTGCCGCTGCCGCGGCTGACTGCCACAGAGGAAGAGCTCAAGAACCTCGCATGGTGAGGTTAGGGCAGCGCGCCTGGGAGGATAGGCGAGAGGCGATTGGCACTGGCAGCCATTCATTCCAGGCCCGGTCAGGTGAGGTTAGGGTAGGAGGGCGCTGGCGTTGGCTGGGTTCTTTATTTGACCCACAGGTAGATGGAGGGAAGTGAGGGGAGAGGGCGTGTCTGGAGGGTAGGGGGTCGCGTGCTGCTCACGTGATCCAGCCTCTACTGCATTGCATGCCGCGAATTAACGTTTTTCGATAGTTTGGTGGCTGAATGTGTAGCGCACGCAAGAAAAAGATTGGTATGGTGTGGCGTGATTGTTTCTTACCACTACGATGGCCCGATATTGTATATAAACAGCTTCACTTCATCGATACCTGAATCAGCACGTGCATCCGTATCAGCTGCCCACACAACACAACAACCTTTGTGCAGCAACCTTCCAGCACAGCATTGTGCTGCAACTAAATGGTTGCTTCAAACGCCTAGTGGCAAGCAAAGAAATGAATACTGAATGGACTGAGGTCCCGCTCTTGGCCCCATGATAGAGTAAGCGTGCGTGTTTCTGCCATACCATGCCACCAACAGCACCAAGCCGCGTTGAACTCCAGTGATGAACCATACTACGCTGATTCAAGCAGGCCCACACCGCAGGACTTCGAGTTGAATCGAGCTGATTGACATATTGTCACCATATGCCAGAGACTACCTCGCATTCTGCTGGTACATGACTGGAATATGGTACGGTACTACCATCCAAATAGCCTGTGTACGGTATATATGTACCGGTATACTGTTCATTACGCCTGGCGAGTGGAGGGTGGTTTGGAGAGGATGGAAAGAACGGTCTTGATGGCTGGTATGCTGTCACATGCCTGGGCCTGCAGCGCGTGGGGGGAGATGAGGGCAGAGAGAAGGATGAGGGCAGAGAGAAGGATGAGGGCAGAGAGAAGGATGAGGGCAGAGAGAAGGATGAGGGCAGAGAGAAGGATGAGGGCAGAGAGAAGGATGAGCGGAGAGTTGAGAGAGGGCTGGTAGTGACGACAAGGGGAGTAATGGCTGGTAGGGAAGGGGAGTGACGACAAGGGTCATGGTGCTGGGAGTAGACTTCCTGAAACACGTTGGGTCTGGAATGCTTATGCATGCACACATGCACACATGCACCCATGCACACATGCACGCATGCACCCACACAGCGACCTCACCACGAGTCTGTCTGCTGACCCCTGTATCTGAAACGCTGCCTGCATCTCACGGTCCACAAACCGCCACGTGTCATGGAAGTCTGTGGAAGGAGGAAGGGCGGGAGGGGAGGGAGGTAGGGCGAAGAGAGAAAGAGGGAGTTGGGGAGAGCGGGCGGGGAAGTGGGAGGATGAAAGAACTGGTGTGATGGGAGGCGAATCGAGCGACACCAAACACACGTGGTGTGCTTGCTAACCGACCCAAGCAGCAGCAGCGCTCGCCCCCAGCCACAAGCCCCTACGCATGCAGTAAAACAAACCAATGCTCGCACATGCTCGCACGTCTCAGCACATAGCCCCACCTGGCGAGAAGTCAGTGAGCATGTGGACCTCAGCGGCAGCATAGGCAGAGCCGAGCAACACGCGGTACGCCAGCAGCTGTGCATCGCTGCAGCGCACGCCCACCGCACTCCACATGCTCGCTGCCAGCTGCCTCCTCTGCCGCAGTGACTCGCACGCGTTGGACGGCCGCGCCTGGGGTTTGGTGGGGAGAGGGTGGGGGTTGTGGGGGGAAACGGCGGTGGGGTGGGTGGGAGATGCACGAGTGGAGGATTGAAAGGTGGAAGGGTTTAGGTGGGAGGAAAGGGAGAAGTGAGCACGGGAAGATGACAGAGGGAGGGGCAAGGGGGCGAAGGGCAGCAGGGTGAGAGGCATGTGAGTCATGCTCTGAACTGTACACAATGACCCGCGACAAGTACCCATGTGTGTGAGAGTAGCATCCCCACCAAAGGTCCTACTCGCCCCCCATGACCCACATGCCCCACATGCCCCCCACAACCCCCGCACACCCCGTGCTCCCCGTTCACACGAACGCCTGCTGCCTGCTGCCCCCCTCACCTGGATGGCGAGTGCCTGCGCCCACGAGGACGTGTAGGGCGCTTTTCGAAAGGCGCCTTGCAAATACCAACCACCTGCTGCCTGCTGCCCCCACCCTGAGACACCTCACCTGGATGGCGAGTGCCTGCGCCCACGAGGACGTGTAAGGCGCCTGCAGGCGCAGGCGCGTGCGGATAGCAGCTGCCATGCGGCTCTGCAGCGCCAGCGCGTCCCCCTCCTCGTACCTGCCCCCGCACGCCTGCCCTCCACTGCTGCTGCTGTGGCTGTGGCTGTGGCTGTGGGGGGAGTGACCAGGAGCAGCGGTGGCGACGGCGATGGGCGTGTGGGGGAACTCGGCCTCGAACTGCCTGCGACAGCGGTCCATGAAGAACTGGCCGGGAGGATGAGTTTGGGAAAGGGGAGCGCGTATGGGGGGGTGGGGGGCGAGTGGAGGGGATGGGAGAGGGGGGGATTGAAAGGGTTGTTTGCCGGAGATTGTTCTGGCTTAGAGAAGTGACAGGGCGGTAGGCGAGCCGAGGCAAGGCCGGATATGGAGCAGGGTAAGTCGTGGTTGGGAACGGGAAGGCGAGGCAGTAAGAAGGGTCCTCAACCTCAACGGGGAGAGCAAGCGTTCCTAGTTCCACCAACCACCTCGCCACATCATCACACCTCTCACCTCACCTCGCCCACTCCCCGTGCCCTGCTGACCACTCCCCTCTGCTAATCACCCCTAACCCCGAACCCCCCCTGCACTCTCCCTCCCAGCATTGCCATCCCAGGCCATCCCATCCCCGAACGCACCTCCACCAGGTGCGCCTCCCCGCGGGGCAGCATTCCGAGCACGGAGGGAGAGAGGCCGTTGTCCCTGGCGCCTGCTATAAGAGCCGCGCTGCTCCACCCTAGCGTCGGCTGATGGGACCGGTAGGATTAGGAAGCGGGTGGTTGGGATCATGGATGTATGCAGGCGCAGGAAGGGGGATGGAGGAGGGTAAGACAAACGGGAGAGAGAGGGACGGTGGGAGGGGGGTGGAACGAGAGCAAGCGGGTAACCAAACAGGCGAGGACTGGAAGGGAATGGAAGCGGGCAGAAGATAAGGAAGGCTCGCATGCTGCTGCGACACTGACTGGCAGTCAATTTCCTATCGGGGGTGTATCCTGCCCCGTAGCAGGTAAAAAAAAAAGGCGTGAGTTTTGGAGCGTCTCGAAAAGGGTCTATCTAGGGTCAGGTACGGATTAGGCAGCGCTCCTATCCACATATGGGTGTGCTTCCAGTCAAGATCAGTCCAGAGCAGGGCAGAGCAGAGCAGAGCAGAGCAGAGCAGAGCAGAGCAGAGCAGAGCAGAGCAGAGCAGAGCAGAGCAGAGCAGAGCAGAGCAGAGCAGAGAAGAGCAGAGCAGAGCAGAGCAGAGCAGAGCAGAGCAGAGAAGAGCAGAGCGAGCAGAGCAGAGCAGGGCAGGGCAGGGCAGGGCAGAGCAGAGCAGAGCAGTCCCCCCTGTCGTGTCTCACCACATGGGTCAGCGCAGCCTGCAGAACTGCAGCCTTCACCGCCTCTCCATCCTTGCCACTGCCACTGCTGCTGCCGCTGCTACTGCTGCTGCTGCTGCTCCCTGCAGAACCGCCAGCGGCAGCAGCAGCACCAGAGGAATGCGCGCTGTGCACCTCATGCCCTCCCTGCGACCCCGCAGCTCCTGTCGCAGAGGACGTGTGCGGGTGCGAGGACGCAGCTGCTGGCACGGGGAGGGGGAGGGCGGGTTGGCATGTGCGTGGGGGAGGGAGGGGAATTGGCGTGAAGGGGGAAGGGGAGCGAGGGAGAACAGCAGTGACTTGCATGACAGGCCACATGAAGGGTTTCCAGTGACAAAAACTGGAAGGTGCACATGAGAAACGAGAGCGAGAAGAGGGGAAGTGCATGCACGCTAGGGCATAGGGGCAAAACTTATCCCACATCTCGTGCCCCCCCCCCGCTCTTTCCTGTGCTGCGCCAACACACTCTTGCCGTAAATTTCTGTAGGCAGTCGCGCACAACCCACCTGACTCAGAAGCGCCCTCACTGCTTCCCCTCGAATCGCCGCCGCCACTTGTCACGTGCGCAGTAGCAGATGAATGGAGTAGCGCCACGTGGACAGACGTGAGGTTATGTGAGGGGAGAACGTGGGAGGAAAACAGACGAAGAGCGCCGAGATTGCTGCTGGTTACACCGTTACACGGAACAAGGCCTCTTGACTGCCCAATTGACAACCTTCGATCAGATCCGACGTATCTCCCAAGATCGTATCGCAATCCAATCGCTGCCCTTTGCTCATCACCACGTGGCAACGGCGGCTGCGTAAGCCTTTCGGATTCGCAATCTTTTTCGTAGCGCCTCGCTTCCGCGCCGCGCCCAGGCACGGACTCAGAGGAGATCGTATCGCATTTGTGGATAGCACCTGCGGGCTGAGGTGCCGTGCTGTGGAGAGGAATCACCAGGCGCGCGGCGATCACTGGAAGAAAGGCCTTTGGCGCTGCGTCGTGCGTGAGCGCTCGGAGCGCAGACGCCATGGCTTCCGTGCTGCGCGGCTCGCAGAATGACTATCTGAGGCGATGAAGGATGGGAACGGTTGAAGCACTGCCTTCCGGTGAAAGCGTTTTTATTCGACGACACCACCCCGACGTAACACGTCGCGCGCCAATCGTCAACCAACGGAGAATTTTGCTCGATTCCGCGGAATCGCGGTTCGTTTTATTATCGCCACGTGGCATGCCTTCGATCGCGGGAACCGCGATCTATTTTATTGTTACCACAAAAGTTCAACAGAATTTTAGTTAAGTTTTGCAATGCGCTGCCCGCGGGCAAAAATAAAACCCATTCGGGCCTGGCATGCATTTGGGAGGCATCAACCCTAAACACCTTGCCTCTAGGCGTTTAGGGTTGATGCATCCCTAACACATGCCATTCCTATAGGGGTTTAATTTTTGCCCGCAGGCAGGGTGGTACATGTGACCCACCAAGCTGAACTAGTTTTCACTTAGAAATTTGTGGCAACAATAAAACAAATCGCTGGCACGTGCCAGTGGCAGCATGGGAGCAGGCATGCAGGAGGGGCGGGGACTGGTGTACACGAGTGACATGACATGGCGAAAGATGTGAGTGGCGAGGAAACAATCCCCGCAGGGACCTGGGGGAGGTACACTGTTACTACTTGCACTGTGGTTACCACCACTCGTTGCCTTGGCTGCTGCACCTTCGATAGCTCCATGCATAGGAGGGTTTGGAGGGTGCAGGGAAGTGTGGGCAGCAGAGGTTTCTTGCAGGAGCTGGAAGAGGTTGGGATGCTGCTGGAATGGGTGAGGTGCAATGGGGAGGGTTTAAAGTGGAAATTTAGACGTCAGGAAACAAGACGTTCACTCAAATACCTACTGGGAAGGAAAAACGGATGGTCTGTTAAACAAGAAAATTCATACACAAGATACACAACAAAAATGCGGGCAGAGACTTGCCCCCAAGAAGTATGCAGTGCAGCGCTAAGCTAAGCACCCCCACTCACCTTGCCCTCCACTTCATGAACATCATCGCCATCATCAGCATGAGCATGAGCATGAGCAGCACGGTGCATGGCGGAGGGCAGGGAGCCATTGCCATAGCAGGCGTGGCAGGGAGGCGGTTCTGGGGAGCGGTAGAGGCAGAGTGTGCCGAGCTGCTCGTGGGGCGCCAGCTGAATGAGTGGGTCCCAGCTGTGTGGGTGGTGAGGGTAGGGAGCACGAGGGAGGAGGAGAGAGGGTGAAGCTGGGGAAAGAGGGGCGTTGAGCGAGAATAGAATGGGGGACGCGGAAAGGAAGGAGGCATAGATTCATAATGCGGCATGGCATGATGGGAACGCATAGGGCGGCAAGGGACTGGGTGCCATGGCATGGGATGGCATGGCATGGCATGATTGCGGCTGAATGCAGCACTGACACATCTGCGATGGTGTATGCGAGGTGACTGCGCTCTGCTGCAAAGGTCAGATGGCGCCGCTGTGCTGCGCTGCGTGCTCCTGCTGCCCTGCAGGGGGATCACACAGCAGGCGAACACACAGCAGGGGCGCACACGGCAGTCAGCACAGGGCTGGACAGGAGAGACGAGCTCAACTCAACACAGAAGAATGGCGCAGCAGGGAAAGGCAGAAGACTCAAGGCAGCTGGCATCCTGTGCGACTTCCATCCAAGTCGCAATACCGACATCACGATGCCAGGCAGGAATGATTCACGGGAGCATCATGGATGCTTGTTTGATTGTAAGTGCGCAGACAGGTCGCACACGACCCTCACATCGCACGCTCTTGCACTCCCATCGACACACAGCCAGTCACCCATGCGTGCTCGAACAGTGGTGTGACTCACGAGAAGGCAAGAACTGGAAGCACAAGAGAGCCCGAGAAGAGCACGTCGTCAGCATCATCAGCAGCAGCAGCAGCAGAGGTGGCAGAGGGAGCACGGGAGGAGAAAGGGGGCGTGGCGGAGAGGGGAAGCGGCGCAGAGGAGAAGGCAGCAGAGGCAAGCACTGCCAGGCCCCCTCCTAGGCTGTGACCTGCAGGTGGAATGGAGGCGTGGAGGGGACAGGTCACAGCTGGGTTGAAGGGTTGAGAAGATCGCAGGTGAAAGCGAGAAGCATGAGATGACTGTCGCTGTGGTCAGCATGTTACTTACGGCATGTGCGGACAAGTGCATGCATGTATGCACTCCATCACTCAGTAGCGCTTCGCTATCATCCGCGATCCGTCAAACAAACCCCATGCGCCTACCCCAGGCACTCCCAAAAGCAGCAGCACAGCGAGGCACACAAGCGTTAGAGGGGCAAGTCAGGGCATCACCTGTGAGGAGCACAGGGGTGTCGCGACCATACACAGACAACACCTGCGGCCGTGCAGTGCGAGTGAGTGTGAGAGTGAGGGTGAAAGTGAGGGTGAAAGTGAGGGTGAAAGTGAGGGTGAAAGTGAGGGTGAAAGTGAGGGTGAAAGTGAGGGTGAAAGTGAGGGTGAAAGTGAGTGTGGGAGTGGGAATGAGAATGAGAGTGAGAATGAGAGTGAGAATGAGAGTGAGAATCAGAGTGAAATTGGGAGTGAGAATGAGAGTGAGCAAGTGAAGGAAAAGCACGAGTAGAAGGGAGGAGATGAAACACGGCGGAAAGGGGTCCAGTTCGGAGGTATATCTACAAAATGGAATGGTTAGTGTCTGTTTGTGCGAGAGACAATACCCTTTCACTGCCACAAACCTCGTTGTCATTTTCTTATAGGTATTGGAAAGCAAAGCACATGTACCATACACAAGGTGCGCCTCTTTTTCTTTCACCCATCTCTCTCTTTCCCCCATTCCCCTCTCTCTCTCCACCCTCCTCTCTCTTCCCCCCCCTGTCCCCCCTCAAACTTCCTCGCTCTCCTTCTCTCGTCCTTCTCCCAAGCCCCCGTGTCCCCCCTCACCTTCCCCACGAGTGCCAGCGCCTGGGAGTAGTAGTCAAGGGAGGCAGGGGGAAAGAGCGCGCAGAAGGCAGGGGGTGGCGCGGAGGGGTCCCCCCACAGCAGGTGATCCGCGCACAGGTCCGCCTGCTGCTGGCGCTGCTGCTGCTCGGGGGAGGGGTATGGCGGAGAGGGGGAGGGGGAAGTGGAGGGCGGATGCGGAGGAGGGGAAGGAGGCGGGGGGGGCGTGAAGTTGGTGAGAAGGGTGCCTCGGAAGGCAATGATGATGCGGGGAGAGGGGGCAGAGGCGGAGGAGGAGGAGGAGGTTCCGGGTGCAAGTGAGGAGGCCACTTGTGACTGAGAAGAATCATCACCTCCAGTCCCAGCTGCTAATGGATCCTCCTCTGCCTGTTCTCCTTCGCCTGTATGTGCATCCTCTCTTAATGCTGCATCCCCCTCGCCTGCCACACTGCCTTCTGAACCGCGTCCCGCCTCGTTGCATGCCGTGTCCTCCTGCACGAGGGGGCATGGTCGGGGTGGGTGGAGAGGGGTGCAAGCAGGTGACCGATTGAAGTGTGCTGCTTTACAGTAGAGGGGATGGCTGGCACGTGTGTGGATGAGGGGTGAAGGACGCGAAGAGATGGCGGAATGGATGAAGGAAGAGGGAATAGGAGCACACGAAACGGATACGTCGAGAGGGTGAAAGTGGCCTGTCTGATATTTCACCACGACAATCCTCTCTTCCCTCCAACAATCCTCCGCCCTTCTTCCCCCTTCGTCCCCCACCCAGTACCATGATTATCCCCGCTAGCGCGTGCCCCGTCCCATTACCCTGCGCCTTCCCCTACTCCGCGCCCCCCCAACAGCCGTGCGCCCCGCACTACCAGTGCGCCTCTCCGCCATGACCCCCCCACCTCGAACACGAGCGCGTGCATGCCGCCGTCGACCGGCGCAACGGGCGGAACTCTCTCCGCCAGCCGCCACCCCGGCACGTCCTTCACGGGCGCGAACGACCACCGGTACGCGTTCGCCGCCAGCTGCGCCATCGGCGCTACCAGCGCGCGGAACTCCGCGTCGCTCGCCGTCGGCAGTTGCGATATTGCCTCCCATGACGATCGCTCATACGCGGATCCCTCTCGCACACCGCATCCGCCTTGCGGAGATTCTTCTTCGCGCGAGGACTCTCGCGGCGGAGATTCCGCGGAGGCCGGATGGCGGGGCGCGGGGAGGGGAACGGCGGAGGCAGGGGACCGAGGATATGGTCGCGGTAGGTGCGCGGAGGGGTTGGCGGGAGCGATGGGGGAGGAGCCGGTGCGGAGAGGGATTGCGGAGAGGATGAGCAGGAAAAGGAGGGAGGTGAGGAGGCGAGACGAGAGAGGGGAGCGGAGAACATCTAAAGTTCTATATGGCGGCGACGAGAAGCGGGTACGCGGAGATGGGGACGCGAAGAGCGTAGCAGATGCGTTGGCGGCGCTCCGAGCAGCCATCAGGACAACTTCACATGGCGGAGACTGGAAGACGGGGAGCTTTGGGGAGGACAGGCTGCCGCTGGGAGGGATCTCGGGGGCTAGGTGAGTGTGGTACAGGGCCAGTTTTGAAAATGATCTGGGTGTCGCGTAAACAATGTTCCATAAGGTCACACTTTTTGAGTAAACTTTTGACTAAATGAGGGAGAAAACCAAAAGCAAGGAGTTGGAATGTACTTTTCCCAGAATACACATGAATTGTAAGATCCGTGTATGACAACTCTTAATACCCTCGGTATTGAGGGTACCTATTTGAAGTGAATGTGGGCCGTCTCGTGGTGGCCCCACCCGCCACAATCATCCTTCCCAAATCATAATACACAGGATGCCCAACCATTGCACGCGCATTTAGTCTGGCCGTGCTCGACCGTGCAGCCTGCCCAATTGCAAGTAGCACCAGCCAGTTGCACGCTCGATACAAGCCCCTATTTTGATCGCAGCCGTTGAACAAACAGCTTATCACGCTGGCATCCGTCCGTTCGTAAGATATTTTGAAGAAGCTGGTTACATTTCTTCACCTGCCCACTACAGTCCCGATTTTGCCCGTGGCGAAATGTTGGCGACCTGGCGAAATAAGGCTGCGCACTAGACAACCAAATGACCGAAAAAGTTGTGGGAGTCAAACGGGCATCCTGTGTAATTATCTCGTGATGGACGACAGTTGGCCACCAGATCTCTTTTCAACCTGGATTCTTTTTCCCCACAGCTGTGGTTCAGGTGCTGCTGCTCACCCTGTTGGTGCGGATGGATGTGCACTGTCTAGGCGGATGGCTCCAAGCCGTTGGTGCAGCTTGTATGGCAAGCAAGCTCCCGTTGGATTTGAGATCGGTGTTTTCTGCTTTCGAAATCTATTGGATGGCTATTTGCCGAATGGCCAATCGGATTTGCTAACCCATCTCTGTTGGAGCCTTGCTGTCAGGCCTCTCATCTCGCCACCAGGGCCTATGTTATCAGGGCAATTACCCTGTTTTGACTGAAATTATAAGGTTTTTTTTCGATGAACCCTGTTTTTCACAAGGTAGCTTTTGGACGAGCCCAGAAAACAAGAGGGTGATTTTTGAAACAGCTCGGATCTCTCCGGGATGTTTTCGAGCGGACCCGGATAGTTTAAGCAACACCTATTCTCCCCGACCTTCTCCACTCCTGGTTTTGCCTCCAAGAGTTTGATTTCTCCCCTCAGATTCTATACAGAGTCTATCTTTCTACCCTCTAGAGCAGCTCCTACCCTCCAAAGATTTTTTCTAAGTCCACAATCTCCATCCCTCTACAGCCGCTCCTTCATATACAGAGGAATTTTTTCGAAGTCTAAACAAAGTCTCTCTTACCCCTCTAGAGGCGCTCCATCTTCTCCAATCCCCCCAGCCCTCGTGCTGCTGCATAGCCCACGGTGAGTTCCGCGAAATTCTGGTAATGCAGGTTATCAGGTCTTTTTTTGCTCGAACCCGGATTCGTGAAGGCTTATTTCCCGCTGGCTCGGATTTTACAGGGTCTTTTTCACAGGGGCCCAGATCGTCCGAGCTAGCAGAAATCCTAGCAATAGCCCTGCTCGCCACCTCGTTTCGCACGGCTGCTCCCTCGGGCTCGCCATAGAATTTTACCGGGCACGCTTGCCTTGTCTCACCCTCCTCTTGCCTTCCAATCTGAGTCAGCCTAGAGTTGGGCCAATACGATGTAGTTCTAAGGCTGTACATTCCACGCATGGCCGCGGAGCGAGGGAGGCGATGATGGGACTCGTGCAGCCTGTGTGTACCACGATGTCAGCACGCATAAGTAACCACTCAGGTCGGGTTTCAGGATTCTGCCCACCGCTGACGAGGAGATAATTACCATGTGGATGAGATTCCGTCTCAGCCATCATGAAGCGAGCACCGCCGTGCTCGTTGCTTGGTCACTTGCCGAGTTCCGAACGCAGTTCGGCCGGGGAACCGGGGAACCGCCCGGCCTCAGGCTTTTGAATGCTGGACAGATAGTATATGAAGGAATTGTTGCTCTCAGAGAGCATCATGTTGCCAGTACTACGGAGTCGGCTTCCAGATTCTGGGATATACTACATCCCTCGGAGGGATGCACTAGCCAAAACCCGTCCAGGTTGCAGATTCCGGCGCTACTACTATAGTATACTGCTTAGACTAACGAGCATTGCGATGATGTTCCACTCGCCGTCGTCTTTTGACAAAAAAATCTGTTTAAACCTCACCCAGATTGAACCTCACCAGCCGTCTGCCCTCTTCCCCCAATCCGGCTTTCGCGGCTCTTGTCTGATCGCCATGGCGCATCGACTCGCGGCGTCTCTGAAGTTTCGGCGCGCGGCGCAGCAGGTGATGGAGGGCGTCCTCCCGCGCGGCGCCAACCTCGGCGGAACTTCTGATGGCGCCGCCCCGGCAGGAGCGAGAAGCGGGAGCGCAGAGCAGGCGGAGACAGCAGCACGGCCGATGCTGGAGCGTGGGGAGCAGCGTGAAGGTACAAGCAAGCATCAGCATCGACAGCATGTCGAGCAGGGCACGACCCGCCGCCGTTCCCAGACCTCCCCCGTCTGCCCCTCTTTCTCCCGCCGCTTCTCTCGCTCAGCCTCCCCAACTCTTCCCCACTCATCCGCCCCTGCTCTCTCCGCCAATTCCTCTCCTCCGTTGGCCTCTTCTCCTGCCTCTGCTACCCTTCCAGCTGCCGCCTCTGCCTCAGAACCTTCTTCCTGCACCACGTCGCCTTCGCGCTCCCATGACTACCCGTCGCTTCACTTCCACTCCGCCCGCCCGTCACCACCAACCGGTGCACCAGCCACGCTTGTGCTCCTCCCCAGATTCAGCGCACCAGCCCAGCGCCCAACTCCAAGACACAGCCGTGGCACAAGCCCAGGCGTCAGCCCTGCATCCAGCCTCAGAACGAGCCAATCTTGCCCAGACCATCTGAGCTCTACCGAACCAGATTGCCTGGCCCGGCCGAGCCTAACCCCCAAACGATCCTGCCTGAGTCAAGGCCGAACCTGCCGCAGCCAGATGCCAGGAGGGACGAGCCCAGAGTATGATGCTTCAAGTCCGAAGCAAGGTGCGGGTCCAAGGCTGGTTCGGCGTGTGTCGTTCAACAGCATTGTGCGTGTGCGGCGGTTCATCGAGCTTCCTCCTGATGCCGACACCTACTGCAGCGACAGTGGTGGGAGTTGTGCCAATGGCATCAGCCAAACCTCCAATAGCAGTGCCTGCATAAATCACAAGCAGCAGGAGCAACAATCGGCAAAAATCGTTGACTGCAAACCTCCTAGACACGAACGTTCAAACAGTCACCCTTCTGCCTCCATTCGCCTCCAATCTTCGTCCTCCTCAGACCCTCCCTCTTCCCCCTCCTCCCCTTCCTCCCCTTCCTCCCTCTCCTACCCCTCCTCCACTTCCTACCCATCCTCCTCTTCCTCCTACCCCTCCTCGCCACCATCAAACTCCTCCTCTCCCTCCCCATCCTCCTCGTCCTCACCTTCACCCCACTTCCCCGCACCCCCGCCAGCCCACATGCGCACAAGTCTGCCCCCGTCGCCCAAAACCAGAAGGCTGAGAGTGCAGATGAGAGCAGCAGCAATAAGGCAGGCCAGCGAGCAGGCTGTGGGGGGCATGAGCGGTGGGATTTTCTTTTGATGCAGCAGGCTGCAGGCAGGCCACCCACAGCAGCATGGCAGGCTGGTTAGCTGCCTGTGGTTGCTACATGAGCAGTGGGCGCTTAGTTTCTTTACACATCACTCTGAAAAACACCAGGTATATTTGTTCTTTGATCATCCTCGCTTGTATGTGTGCCTATATATAATACATGCTTAAACATTTTCATGTACCTACCGTGTCCCCCCCGATAGAGCATGTTCACCCTTTTAATTGGCGCATGCGCTATTTTCCTGACTAATGGGCTTATAGGCATTGCTGATTACCGTACAAGCGCAGGCTCGATTGAGTCTGACTTTGTACAAACGCATACGAATGTACATTAAATAAATTATATATCGAATGTACTGTAACGAGCTCTGCCTTGTTCACTGCCACTGGTCTTGGCTGTCGGGGGGAAGTCTGCTGCACGGAAGGTGGTGTAGAGGAGGGCGATAAGGGTCAGCTACAGTTCCAGCATTTTGCTGCCAAGTGGCTCAACGCACCCGCAAGTGTTGGCAAGCGTGCCGTGGCAACATGGACGATATTTTATACGCGACTCGCTATTATTTCGACTCTGTTGAGACCAGGTGACCATTTTACAATATGGTGTATTATGACAAGGAAATTTTATTTACCAATATGTAAAGCCACACACCAGCCACAATCATCACAACCCAAGCAAACATGATGACCCCTTGAGTGTTGTGTTAAAAACAATTAGGAATAGTAATCTCGAGTAGCTTCACCACTCTTGGCGCAACCTCAGGCTGCTTGCTGGTGTGCCATGCTGCAGCGGATGATGCGCCTCCAGCTTGTTGCATCAGAAGAAAATTCCACCACCCGATGCTCCCACTGCCTGCTCGATGGCCTGCCTTGCTGCCGCTGCTCTCAGCTGTGCTCTCAGCCTTCTAGCCGTGGGCAACGGGGGCAGACACTTGCGCATGTGGGCAGGTGGGGGTGCGGGGCAGTGGGGTGAAAGAGAGGAAGAGGGGGTGGGGGAACGGGGGGAGGAGGGGTACGAGGCGCAGGGGGAGGATATGGAGGAGTGGGAGGAGGGGGAAGATGGGGCGGAGTGGGAGGGGGAAGATGGGGAGGATTGTGAAGAGGGGGAAGAGGAGAAAGAGGGGGAAGAGGAGAAAGAGGGGGAAGAGGAGGAAGAGGGGAAGAGGAGGAGAGAGGGGGAGGAGGGAACAGAGCAGGGGCGTACGGAGGCAGGAAGCTGACTGCTGAAACGTTCACGTGAGACAGAGTGGGAGTCAAGAAGTTCCGTCTTTTGCTGCTGCTGCTGCTGCTGCTGCTTGTTATTGCATGTACTGATTCTGCCGGTTTGGCTGATGCCATTGGCACATCTTCCATCGCCCTCACTGCAGTAGCCATCAGCATCAGGAGGAAGCTCGATGAACCGCCGCACACGCACAATGCTGTTGAACGACACACGCCGAACCAGCCTCGGACCCGCACCTTGCTTCGGGCTTGAAGCATCTGGCTCTGGGCTCGTCCCTCCTGTCATCTGGCTGCGGCAGATTCGGCCTTGACTCAGGCATGAGCGTTTCGGGGTTAGGCTCGGCCGAGCCAGACAATCTGGTTCGGTAGAGTTCAGATGGTCTGGGCAAGAATGGCTCGTTTTGAGGTTGGATGGAGGGTTTACAGCTGGGCTTGTGAGACGACTGTGTGTTAGGGTTGGGCGCTGGGCTGGTGCGCTGAATCCGGGGAGGAGCACAAGCGTGGCTGGTGCACCGGTTGGTGGTGACGGGCGGGCGGAGGGGGGATGAAGGGACGGATAGTCATGAGAGAGTGAAGAAGATGCCGTGCAGGAGGAAGGGCGTGAATCATCTGAAGCGGCTGGGAGCGTGGAGGAGAGAGAAGAGGGCAAAGGAGGAGGAAAATGGATAGGGGAGTGTGAGGAAGGAATGGGTGAAGTGAGGTGGGGGAGAGTGAGGGAAGCTGAGCGGGAGAAGCGGCGACAATAGAGGGAGGGGCGGACGGGGGAGGCGGTCTGGGAAGGGAGGCAGGCCGTGCCATGCTCCTCATGCTGTCGATGCTGATACTTCTTGCTACGACCACCGTGAAGTTGCTCCCCACGCTCCAGGATCGCCCGTGGTGCTTTCTCCGCCTGCTCTGCACTCCCGCTCCTTCTCAATCCCGCCGGGGCGGTGCCATTAGTAGAAGTGGAATCGCCGAGGTTGGCGCCGCGCGAAAGGACGCCCTCCATCACTTGCTGCGCCGCCCGCCAAAACTTCAGAGACGCCGCGAGTCGATGCGCCATGGCTGCCACGATCAGACGCGAGCCGCGAAAGCCGGATTGGGGAACGAAGGCGGACGGGCGGTGAGATTGGCGGGGACTTTGTTCGGCACTGCCAAGAGACGAGTGGAACATTGCACTACTCATACCAGTTGTTGCACTTGTAGCAGTAACGCCGGATCTTGCAACCTTTCAGTGAGAATTTAGAAAGGCGAGGCGTCACGGTGGACTTCAGGGCTTCAAGGCAGTGACTCCAAGACTCGCGGAATCACTAGCTGACTCAGTAATGCTCTCTGGGAGCAACCGAGACCTCCATTTATCTCTCTCCCGCCCACCCCTGCAGTGGTGGCAAGTCCGGGACATTGCACAAGGCTGGGGGGTTCCCGAGGCGCGGAGAACGCGAGCTCCGACTCGATAATGGCGTCCGGACCCCGAGTAGAACCTCGGCCGCGTGCATGCAGGGAACGAGTCGCAACGAATCTCAACGAGCAACGGCTCCGAGCCATACGCAGCCAGTCAGCCAATCGAGCCGCATACGGCGTGGGACCATCGCATCTGAGAAGGAATCCCTAGTACCTGTGTATTTGCTGACAGCGCAGAAATCCTGAATGCCGACCTGATTGGTCCTCTTGCCCTCCTCTCAAGCGGTTCACACGTCGAGGCACGTGTCACTAAATCGCCTCCCTGGATCCGCGCGGCCGTGAGTTGAATAACAGCCAATGAAACTAGAAGTTTTACCGCCCACCACTATCTTTGCTGACTCGGATTGTGAAGGACGATGAGCCGAGGTTGGTACCAGTCAGGGCCAGCCCCGGCAAAAAGCAGTCGTGCGAAACTAGGCTGGGAGATGAAAGCCCGGACAGCAAGGCACCAATGGAGCTGAGACGGCAAGCCCGATTGGCTGAAAAGGCCACTGATGATGACATATGAGAGACTTTCCACTCCGTCCCGTCAAACCCTACCGAACAATAATCTACTACAGTACAGTCCAAAACAGGCTTGCTTGCCATGCAAGCTGTACAGTGGAGAAGGAAAGAGCTCGGAAGCAGGAACGGATTGGAGCCATCTGCGTGTTGACTGTAAGGATGCACCGTCTCCAACGCTGGGCATGAGTGTGTAGATGAGCACGGATCGCTTCACCTGAACCGTGAGCTGATAAGGGAGAGCCAAGCCACATTTGCAGTACAGCGAGGAAAAGAAGAGTCTGGGGTGGAAAGGCACCACATAGATCTGGTAGTCAACGTGTTGTGTAATCATAAGCATTGTACAACGAGGATGACGGCTGTGGTGGTTGGGTTTTGGGTGGGGCGATGTGGAAGAAAGACGGCCGACGTCTTGTCCGCGCTATAATTGCCTCCGTTAGAGAAATTATCCGTTTGTAGAAACTCACATCGCCCAGGAGCGCGATATGACAAACGTTATAAGTCAAATTCACGGCATCAATGTAATTCAACAAGGTGAATTATGTTAGAGAGAGGTCACTGAACATTTTGGAATGGCAGGGAAATTGAACCTCCCCTCACGTCTGCCACCTTCTAGCGAGATTATAATCAACCTGTCGAATATAGACAAGGAACAATAACTTGTTGTGGTTTCTAGTAGAGTGAAACAGGGTGTAATATATTGGCCCGGTTAGAGGACCTGGGGGCATAAAAATAAGGTATTGATCTTTGTTTGATATCTTAGGCTGGAGGAAGCATATACCGTCATCGCCCGGATATAAGACATATATGTCTTATCTCGTACACGGGCAAAAATGCTTGAGTTATCTTGTAAACGGGATGGTTTAGGGTGTCTTATAAGTCTTATAAATGGAAACTTATTAATCTACTTAGAATTTTTTCCGTACTTCTTGAAAAAGATGTCAAACATATATGCTGCATATTGTCTAGGCTGTAGTGGGGTAGCCCATATGGGGTACAGCCCAATTAGGGTTTACTACTTGTACTCCTGCATGCTGCTAGTTCATTCATTCCTGCTGCTAGATTCTGACATGGTTTCAGAGCACTAAGGTCCGTAGGACCGTTTTTTTTTTTTCGGGCCCACCTACCGCTGCGGTTACCGCGCTACCCCACGTACCTGCCTGCCTTGCCTTGCCTTGTGACGTGCTGCACTATGTGCGCCGTCCAGCAGCCCTAGCGCTGCCTCCTGCTGCCCTAGGCCAGCGCGCTGCCCCTAGAGGCCCGTAAGGCCCACGCGCCGCCCCTAGAGGCCCGTAAGGCCCGCGCAGCCCGCTGCAGCCGCGCGCAGCCCGCACAGAGCCCGCGCAGCCCGCGCCGAGCCGCGCGCAGCCCGCACAGAGCCCACGCAGCCCGCGCCGAGCCGCGCACAGCCCGCTGCAGCCGCGCGCAGCCCGCACCGAGCCGCGCGCAGCCCGCTGCAGCCGCGCGCAGCCCGCAGCTGCCGCGCGCAGCCCGCGCCGAGCCCACGCAGCCCGCGTCGAGCCGCGCGCGGCCTGCTACGGCCTCGCGAGGCCCGCGCGCGGCCCGCAGCAGCCCGCGCCGAGCCGCGCGCGGCCTGCTACTGCCTCGCGCGGCCCGCGCGCGGCCCGCAACAGCCCGCGCCGAGCCGCGCGCGGCCCGCTACTGCCTAGCGCGGCCGCGCGCGGCCTGCAGCAGCTCAGCGCGCTGTCAGCGCAGCCCGCGCCGAGCCGCGCGCGGCCCTCTGCCTCGGCCACGACCTGCCGCTGATGCGGACCCGCCCTGCAGCTACCACGGCCCCGACCTGCCGCTGATGCGGCCCCGCCCTGCAGCTGCCACGGCCCCGACCTGCCGCTGATGCGGCCCCACCCTGCTACTGCCGCTGAAGCGGCCCCGCCCTGCAGCTGCTTCGGCCCTGCTCTGCAGCCGGTTTTGCGGCCCCGACGCCGCCGCTGTCGTGCGCCTACTCGGCCGCCGCCCGTCGAGCGCCGGCCCTGCTCGCCCGGTGAGCGCCTGCTCTCCCAGCCTTTGGTGAGCGCCTGCCTGCCTGCCTGACGGCCTGCCTGTCTGCCTGCCTGCCTGCCGGCCTGGCTGCCTGCCTGCCTGCCGGCCTGCCTGCCTGCCTGCCTGCGCGACTGCCTGCCTGCCTGCCGGCCTGCCTGCCTGCCTGCCGGCCTGCCTGTCTGTCTGCCTGCCTGCTTGCCTGCCTGCCTGTCTGCCTGCCTGCCTGCCTGCCTGCCTGGCTGCCTGCCTGCCTGCCGGCCTGCCTGCCTGCCTGCTTGCCTGCCTGCCTGCCGCGCCTGCCTTGCCCGCGCTACTGCTGCTGCTACTGCTACTGGCAGGTGGCCAGATGCAGCTCCAGCGACGTTCACGCGAGCCTCTGACGCCCCAGCAGCTTAGTGAGTGGTATACTAGCTGGGGTTGTCGCAGTAGCCGTCGTAGCTGTCGCCCTGGAGCTGGTCAGTTGGGAGCGTCTGGCAGTGGCCAGCTGCAGCTGCAGGGGCGTCCACGTGAGACACTTACGCCCCGGCAGCTCCAGGAGTGGTACGCTCAGTGTAGCAGGTCTACGCGTACAGTTCGCTGCCAGTACGTCATTCGCACAGGTGCTAGGACTGGTCAGCCTTGTGGGACGCTTGGTCACACACAGTCCCGCTGCTTCGCCCGTCTGAGCGACGACTGGCGCACAGTGTTTGGCGACGAGGCTGAGCTCCCCACCTGGCTGGAGCTGCATGGACAGAGGGTAGATATCTTTGCGCTTGACTATGATGCTATTCTCACTGCCATGTATGCATTGCCTACTAGTGCTGATCGTGCCTGTTATCTGTGCGTACCGCCTGACCCTGGTGAGGCTGCTGCTCTAGGTGCTAGTGCGTCTCCTGCTCTAGGTGCTGGTGAGGCTGCTGCTCTCGGTGCTAGTACGTCTACTGCTCTAGGTACTGGTGAGGCCGTGGCTTCAGGTGCTGGTGAGTCTGCTCTCTCTGGTACTGCGCCAACTACGGTCTCGCACACCTTCACCCTTGACTCAGGAGCTTCTCGCTCCTTCTTTCGCGACTGCACCACACTCACGCCGCTTAGTCGGCCAGTTCCAGTCTCCCTGGCGGACCCCTCCGGGGGTCCAGTCCTTGCCCACTACTCCACGGTTCTGCCGTGTCCGGCCGTCCCGTCCGGCTCGCTGTCAGGTCTTTACCTCCCCTCGTTCTCTACGAACTTGGTGAGTGGAGCTGACCTCCAGGATCGGGAGGTTGACCAGTTCACTCCTGCGAGTCAGCGAGTGACTCACTGTACGTGTGCTAGGACGGGCCGGCACTTGGCCACGTTCACCCGTGCACCTGGCTCGAGTCTGTACACACTGACCACTGAGTCCCCTCAGGTAGCTGCGTCTGCGTCTACGTCTGGTCAGCTGGCGGCCCCCTGCGAGTGTCGCGCTTTGTCGCACGACACTCTCCTGTGGCACCACCGTCTTGGTCACCCCTCCTTGCCTCGCCTGCGTAGCATGCACTCTCGCTCCCTGGTCTCTGGTCTTCCCAGGTCTCTGCCTGCCCTCCCTCCCTCGCCTGCGCCGCCCTGCATTCCTTGCATCGAGGGGCGGCAGCGCGCCGCTCCTCACTCCTCCTCGTTTCCTCCCACAGAGGCTCCACTGCAGACGCTCCACCTGGACGTGTGGGGCCCAGCCCGCGTCCAGGGACAGGGCCGCGAGCGGTACTTCCTGCTGGTTGTCGACGACTACACGCGTTACACCACGGTCTTCCCCTTGCAGAGCAAGGGGTGCGTCCCTGATGTTTTGATCCCTGTATCCGCGCTGTTCGTCTCCAGCTCCGCGAGCGGTTCCGGCGGGACTTTCCTGTCCTGCGTCTGCACTCTGACAGAGGTGGTGAGTTCTCCTCTGACCTCTTGGCAGCCTACTGTGCGGAGCACGGCATCACCCAGTCGTTCACGCTTCCGGCCTCTCCACAGCAGAATGGGGTTGCTGAGCGTCGCATTGGCTTAGTCATGGAGGTCGCTCGTACCTCCATGATCCATGCGGCTGCCCCCCATTTCTTGTAGCCGTTTGCGGTCCGGTACGCCGCGCATCAGCTCAACCTCTGGCCCCGTGTCTCCTTGCCG